TCCCAGGAAGTTTCTCTGAAGAGTTTTAGTGGAGTGGCCCCAGGGTGATAGCTCAGGGAACAAACAAAAAAGGAATTCAGTGAAAATGTGTGTGTTTTTTTTTTCTTTTGTGAATTACTCCTGGGTCACTTCTGCCACTGGTAAAGCCAGAACTTCTCCAACAAGAACCTTGCAAAAGTCCAGTGAATCAGTCGAATCATTCTGTGGATGCCAAAGAATATTTTGACCATAATACAGCACAGCCTGGACCTGACAACTTGTCGCTTGGACTTTTTTTTAACGGAGCTCTTTAGCAACAAAGTACAGAAACATGTTCGTCGCACACACCCAAGGAGACGAGCCCAAGCTCTTGGAAGAAGATGCTGTTCTGCTGCTCGGCTATGAGAACTGGGAACCGGGGGTTGGGTTTCAGATCCTGGGCTGGGCCCACTGTGAGCTTCCCGAAACTCGGACTCACGGGAGGAGGAACACTGGTGGCAAAACCAGCATGGCCAAAGTCTTGACCGTGTGGTCTCCCCCCCCACCCCACCCCCGACTCAAATACACAAAGCGCAAGTCAGCGGGATGGGTTGCAGCTTGACCGCCCACCCCGACTCCAAAACTATCGAGGTACGACAGTGGTGTTGTCACCAACATTTAGTTTCATGTGAATTTTATCAAAACAGGAAACAAAGATAATGACTAAGTTCAGAGGACTGGACAGATGTGTCCAGTTGGAGTGGACTTGGAGCAGGCTTCAAGGATTCTGCGTGTTGGGTTGTCACAAGCTACCATGTAGAGTTTAGTCTGCCTGCCGCCTTGGTAGTAGTGGTCAGTGCGGTGTCAGCATCGGTGTCCCAACCCTGTTCTCTGTTTACTGCCTTTAACAGACCTTCTTCCCCTTGCTTCGGGTCACAGCCTTGTCTGTACTGGATCGCCCAGTCTCACCTTGTGGGAAGCAAAGGGATAAGCTTAAAGAACAACCAAACTCTGCCCAGGGGGTCAGAATGGGGGGTGCCAGGATGGCCCAGGTTCAGTAGACTCAGCACTTGCCCCCTGACCCCTTCATCCATCCTGAGGCAGAGTCTGGGCTGCCTGGCAGTGGGAGCGGGAGAAAAGCAGGGAGGGAGTGCAGGGGGTCTGGCCAGGTGGGGTGTGCAGGGGGTCTGGCCAGGTGGGGTGTGCAGGGGGTCTGGCCAGGTGGGGTAGCCAGCGCTCTTCAGTGCTCAGTTGGATCTTGCTCTGCACTGGACTGTCCCTGGGGCCATGTCTAACACAGAGCCCAGGTGTCTGTTGGGCTGGCTGGTGGGGGCCCCTTCAATTCCAGGCCAGTCCCTAGAAGTGTCCTCACCAGGCAACTGTCCACCGGGCTGCAAGGACAAGGGTGCTGAACCACACTGCTCTCCTTTGTGCCATCAGCCGCAGCCCCTTCACTCTTTCTGGCCTACTGTCCATGTTGGCAGCTTTGCTGTCCCTGAGGTTAAGGCAGGAGGCAGGGAAGAAAGAAGAAGGCCTTTCCCAGGCCAGAGACTGAGCCATCTTGCACTTGACCACACCTGTCCACACTAAGTGTCCCTCGGGGAGAAACTGCTCTGTAGTTCATTCTGGCTGTCATTCTCATTATCCCAATCCTGGCTGCCCATCGCCTCCTTCCCCGTCATCACAATGAGAAAGAAGAATGTGCAAGGAAAGTATTTTTATGGATCATAAATGTATTTTACAACAAATGAGAAGAAAGGTAGAAGGGTTTATTTTATTAAATGAGCTCTGACTTGGTGACTGTGTGAGCATTTGCAATGTAAGGGTCTCGGTTTCCTTGGAGAAGCTACCCAGGTTTCCAGACATGGGTGTTGGACTGTGGGTGTGTGAATGCGGGCCAGGGCATGCCTCGTGTGTCCACGTGCACGTGTGTCTGTGTTGTGGTGGGCACACCATGGGATTTGCTGGGGCAATTTTTAGAGAGTCAACTACCCAACTAATCGACATTGGCAGCAGCTAGACGTGGTATTTCCTTGCTCACTGCCAGATGTGGCCAGCTTTGCCCATGCCTGAAGCTCTGTAGAATGGTCTGGATGCCTGTAGCAAGGCCCTTGGGGAAGCTACTTCCCATGCCCCTGGCCCAGCTGGCCACATTGGCCAAAGAGCCAGGGCTGGAGTTTGGGACTTTTGGTTGTTCTTTAAGGCACTTCCTGCCACCTTGTCCCTCAGACGCACAACATTCTGTGCTCCACGTCGGTTCGGGGTGGGGGGATGATATGAATGTCACAGGAGGAAACACCTTCTGTCTTTGTTTCAAAGAAAGTGATGTGCCATTTGTTAATATACAAGAGAATATTGAAAATATATTGAAAAGAGCAATTTTAAATTATTTTTGGCTTATGTTGCAATATTTATTTTCTTGTATTAGAAAAGATTCCTTTGTAGAGAAAAAATGTATTTTTCATTAACGCAAAGACCTATTTCTCCTTTTTGTACATCGTCCGTGTTCGCTACCCTTAATGAGCAATAGAATGTACGGCCGCCCTGGTGTGGCCAGCGCCCGCTGTGCCCTGCATGACTCTATGTTGCCACTGCTGCGTAGCTCCCAGTCTCATCCTGTCCTGCTCACTCATGAGGGTTTCCAGACCTGGCCCCCACCAGGGCCTGTGTCTCAAGGAGCCCTTTGCACTCCTCGTGTGTTGGCAAACGCAGTTAATAAAGCAATGTTTTCTGTGCCGGATGGTGTGAGGCTCCGTTCCATTAAGTGGGACCAGGGATCTGGGGGCCCTATGGGCTCAGTGAAACAGTTCCCTGGGTGTCCCAAGGGCCCTGCTGCTACCGCCCGAAGAATCCTGATGGTGATGGCGCATAGCGAGTGCTCAGTGCACACCCGGGGCCACGCTCAAAGCCCAGTGTCATTTGCTCCTCATTGTGGCCCCCTCGGAATTCCGTGGATGAGAGATATATCCAAAGCCACCCCTCTGGTAAGTCTTGTGTCACAGGATGGCTGGGCTCTAGCCACCCCGTGAGCCCCCCGCCTGGGACAGTGGGAAGGTTTGGGAGGAAGCCCAGGCATCTGTCCCTGTACCAGGGAAGAATTTTCCCCAGGTTTGTTTCTCGTCTCCTGAGCACCGACTCCACACCAGGCTCTGAAAGGTGTGGGGAATGTAGTCACTGTCCTTGCCCAGGGCAGCTCACAGTCCAGTGGGGACACAGTCGCCAAGGGAAGTGAGAGTCATTATGGAGGCCTGGGATGACCTGGGGCAGGTGGGGCGGGGGGGCTGTCACTCAGGAAGGGTTTCTCTGTGGAAGCAACACCATTCATTCGTTCAGCGAATCTGTTGACCACACACCTCCTGCCTGTGTGCTTGGGCTATATGCCGTGCGTGTCACCAGGACCCTGCCCTAGAGCTGCCAAGCAATGAAGACCCGTGTGGACTGACTTAGTCATAGCTGCCCCATGGAGGGCTGGTCCTCTGCCAGCATCTCCCAGGAGTAAAGCCTATATTGACCCAATGCTCCCTGAACACTGCTGCTGGGCCCCGAGGCTACTGGGATGACCACATGCCCTATGGAGAGACTAGGCCAGTGTGCGAGGCAGATTTTAATCATATAATCCCAAAGCAATGTGTAATTACTCACTGAGACTGTGCAAGAGAGTTTAAGGCCAGGGAGCAGGAGGTCTCTGGCCGCCCTGAACTTCCCTTGTTCTTGCTATAATCCAGCAAGTTTGGGTCTGGAGCGCCATCTACCGCCAGCCGCCAGGCCCCAGCCTGGATGCCTCCAGCGCCCAGTCCTGAGGCCCACAGGGCCAGGGCCAGCCCTGCATTTCCCCAGCCTCAGAGTTCCAGTCCTCTCGTCCCCTGCACGCCAGCGCCTCCCAGTGCAGAGAAGGACCTTCTCTGTCAGTTTCAGGAACAAGGAGGCAGTTCAGGGACACGAGGCCTCTTGGAAGAATAAGACCTTGGCTGAGACCTGCTGGGTGCCCGCCCTGGGTGGGGTATGTAGGCTAAGGA